AAAAAAAAAAAAAAAAAAAACACTTTCTTTGCATGTATACAGGGTAACCGGCGTTCGGGACGGGCCGAACGCCCGAACCCGAACGCCCAAACCCGAACGCCCGAACGTATGGGACCCCTTGGGGATGCGTTCGGCTTTGCCTGAGCATTACATCCAAATTCCTTACCAAATTTGAAATAAAAATAAAATACGGAGAATAAATAATAATAACAAAAATAAATAAAAACAAAAAGAGAATTCAACTTAGTGAGTGCACGAGCACGTTTTTGACACCGCCATCTTTGGCGATTTTTCATTTTTTTTTTTGGCATAGCTCAATGCCCTGAAAATTTACAGATAAATACTTCACATAATACAAAAGCCACTAAAAAAGTTTCAAAAAATAATAAAATCGTTTAGACCCCGAACTAAAGTGAAAACAAAAAGTAAAAAAAAATGAAAAAAAACATGGGCGAGCACGTTTTGACACTGCCATCTTTGGAGATTTTTCATTCTTATTTGGCTGACACAAATGACTTGAATGTACCTCACGCCATAGAGAACTCACAAAAGAAAAATTCAGAAAAAAAACATTTTTTTCAGGTTCCCAAATAATTTTTGGCGGGGGCCGAACGTCGTCAGGTTCGGACCCCGTACGGGACCCCGAACGCCAGTACGTACGGAGGTCTGCCCGGGGACCTTCGTACGTACGGGCTGGTGACCCTGCATGTATATATATAGTTTCCAATATAGAATGAACTTTTCTTGGATTCTCGGATTCTCGGTTGTATGCATGACTTCTTAGACTGAGTCATTCAACTTATAAATAATACTTAATCTCAACCTAGATTTCCTCAGAAAAAAACACATTAAAAGTTAAACCACTCGTACCTCCGAGCCAGTTTTTGCCGAATCTGAATTTCACTGCGCTCCGAGTTTGTCGAGTTTGGGTACCACTCCGTTTTCTTTCTGGTACTCTCACGGAAAGAACAAAAAAAAAAAAAAATGTTGCGGCCGTGAACCTCAGAAAAGAAGACGAAAAAAAAAAGGAAACAAAAGTTTTGTCCATGATTTTGTATACATTCTTGGAAGCTGTGTAGCACACCGAACATGTTCGAAGCTTTTCCGAAAGTCCGAACATGTTCGGGTATTCGGCCAAACGCCTCCCGAACGTGTTCGACCGAACATATTCAAAGAAAAAAAGAAAACCAAACTTTTTTTTTTTTTTTTAACTCGAGGTTGGTTATGCATTTGAGCATACCTCCCATGCAAAAGTTGTTTTTATTATCTTTTTACCATGGTAACCCGGGACCCGGGCACCGGACACTTCCGGACTGTCTTCCGGACCAGTGTCTGGACCGGTCTGGACCGGTCTGGACTGTCCGGTGATCCAGACATCACCGGACACCGGACAGTCCGGACCGGTCCCCGGGGTGCAAAAATGTCCGGACCCCAAAAAAAAAAATCGGGGGTGGGGGGGAGGATGGGTGGGCGTGTTGGCAGGCACTTACCTGCTTTGCACTCTGTAGTTCAGGCAACAGAGCACGTGTCTTGCAGCAAATCAACCAGCACATTTAAGTAGCTGACACGCAGAGTTGCAAACAGTGCAAAGCAGGCACAAGACTAAAGAAACAGAGAATTAAAAAAAAAAACAGTACGATTAACTTCGAACTTTAACCTTTGAACTTTGGATTTAGTAATTTAAGTTCATAACTTCATAATAGTCATATATAACTTGAAAGTTCGAACTTTGCAGTTCGATTCAGAACCTCGGAGTCTTCAGACTGACAGCACTGTCACTGCTCTCTCTCTCTCTCTCTCTCTCTCTCTCTCTCTCTCTCTCTCTCTCTCTCTCTCTCTCTCTCTCTCTCTCTCTNTCTCTCTCTCTCTCTCTCTCTCTCTCTCTCTCTCTCTCTCTCTCTCTCTCTCTCTCTCTCTCTCTCTCTCTTTCTCTCTCTCTCCCTCCCTCCCTAATGGGGAGCAACGGCGGGCGCCACGTTGAAACAGCCGCTTTGAAATTGCTCGGGCCTGTGCGAAATGCGCCACCTAAAAAACCCGCCACCTCTCCCTAGTCCGGTTCGGACTGTGGGTAGCAGCTTTTTGAATTTGATCTGTTTTTTGGTATCATGCACTGAGCTGGTAGGAGTTACTGTGACCGATTCTCTGTTTCAAGTGATTTTGTGGCGGCTGTATGGAAATTGTTGAGGGACTTGTAGTATGTACTAAGTCTTTCCTTTGCTCTGCAGTAGGCCTCAATCGCGGTACCTCTGTTTTAGGTTGTAGTAGTTGGCGTGTTTCGCGCGACTTCTTTGGAGTGTTGTCGGATCTGAGAAGAGTTATTGTGGTGACGTCGTAGTATTAATAGGTACACGTCCATTGTCCGTCGCGCCGACGTTTGCCTCTGATGATCCTGGTTCTTGGTGGCCAGGTGAAACCGGTAGGGCTCACGCCATGATTGGGCTTCAAGTTCATTTTTATATATGAAGTCGCGTTTGGGATACAGACTGTTGTGTCGTCGTCTCTTCTATTCCCCCTCCTTCTATGTCTGTTTTTGCCATGACACTAGTGTTGTATGTATTACGTACTCACTTGAACACACGGAGTAACAGACGTAGGAGTTAGACTACTGCCGAGTGGCTTCGAGCTTTGTTGATTAAGATGGCTTCTAACAACTTTAATGCTGATATGGCTGACCCTAGATCTTGTTACAACTGTTGGCAACGAGGTCACATTTCTCGTAATTGTCCTCTTCCGGATCGCAGGCTCAATGGCGGTCAACCGTCGACAAGAACGACTTTAGTGCCAGTCCAGACACCACTGCTGATCACGCTGTGTCGGGGAATTCAGGGACTTCTACTCCTGCTTACGGAGGGTATTCAAATGGGGGAGGCTACCTGGGGAAGAGGGTGTCCTTGTTGGAAGAGATTGTTGGAAAGATAAAGGTCAAGCATGATGCTGACGAGGCTAGGGAGTTGGCGACACGTGAGGAAGAAGCCAAGAAGAAGCGTGAGCGTGAGGATGAAGAACGTAGGTTGCGTGATAAGAAAGAATGGGAGGAGTTCCAAGCGCAGATCAACAAGGAAGTTTCGTCAAAACTCGATCGGGTGTACGAAGCGGTTAACGGGAAGAAGGGTGCTGAGCATGATGAGGTTACCAAGTTGAAAGCCAGGATTGAAGAACTGCAGAATCGTGCGTGTGTGGCTAGTACGTCTACGCAGGTTGCTAAACCTTCTGAGTCCGACGAAGTGGTAAGGTTGAGACTTGAGCAGATCGAGATGCAGAAGACTACCGACAAGAGATTTAAAGCCGTGGAGGAGGTTATTCAGGCTCTGCAGAAGCAATGCGAGGATGTGGAAACAAACGCGGAAGTTTGGAAGGTTGAAGCGCTCCGACCAGGTAATTAGTGGGGAGGGGTTGTGATTGGTTCTACTCCGGCTTCACAGTCGAGAGTTAGGCAGAGATTGACACCTGGCGTGTTGCCGAGTTCTGTGAGAGTTTACGAGAAGCTGAAGGGGGTTGTTGAGAGACATCAGGCAGAGGTTGCTATTCTACGGGATATGAGGATGAAGGAAGTCAATGCTAGGAAACAGAGCGAATTAGAGGTCGAAAGATTGAAGAAAGAAATGGATCGCAGGAAGTCGAGGAGTAATCTCAAGACGAGGTTGATGAGGCGGCTTGACCATCTGCATTGAAGGACAAGGCTGAGGCAACAGTGATTACCTCTACAATGAAAGACAGAGGGAACGGTGATGACAGCCCGGCTGCACGTAACGATCGGGATTCATTTCTGAGGAGGGCGAGGAAATAGTTGCGAGGTGTGAAGAAGGAGGAGATCATTAATATCTGTGGTAAGGAAGGTGTTACGTACACCACACTCGACCCCACGACGGAGGCGATTGCACGGAGGCGATATCTGTCTGTCTGTGTCTTTGTCTGTATGTCTGTCTGTCTTTGTGTCTGTATATGTGTGTGTGTGTCTATGTGTGTGTGCCTGTGTGTGTGTGTGTGTGTGTGTGTGTGTGTGTGTGTGTGTTTGTAGGTGTCTCTATGTGT